ATTAGTTTCCAATGAAGCTGTTATATTTCAGACTCCTAAAAGCAAAAACCACTTGACATCTGGGAGGAAAGGGCAACGCATATATTACATAATTTAATGAATCCAATAGAAGTAAGGGTTCAACTAAAGGTGAAAAATAATCATGTTATAAATGTCAATGGGTAGTACAGGCTATTACAATATTACTTTACTCCTGCTTTTACTAGGGTATCATTGCTGTTTTCAACTGAGTTGCACCAGTGTAAAACTGGAAAACAGAGCACTCAGGCGGCTTTAATTTATAAAAGGATATAATTTATTTGGAGCTGAAATTCCATCAGTTTAATGGCACAGTGTCAAAAAGTTTGAGCTACATCCATGAAAAATACAGATTTTTCTAACTATGTACAAGTGTTAGTGCATTTATTCAAGTCTGTATTTGACACTATGTCAATAACCAACATGAAGAAAAAAGCACAAATTTCCTTGTGCTCCAAAACGATCCCATCAATGCTACCAAACAATCGAACCCGAGTCTACTTCTGTAAATCTGGTCTGACGCCCTCATGCCAGTCAATCTAAGGTCAATTTAACTCAGGACCACATTGTGCTAAGCCACCGAGATTGATAAACCATATTTTGTAAAGAAAATGTGTTTCTGATTATAAATGGAAAATTTGTAATTAGCCCCTGGAGTGTCTGAACTACCATTGTCACAGAGAACAAGAAGTCACAATTAAACCCGTATTTCATATGTTCACTTCTTGACCCAAAAGCAGATTTGATGGAAAGCAGGACATGCAGAGCTGGCCTTGTCTTGCTGCAAATGCTCAGGCACACCAAGGTCACACTGAACAGCAGCCAGGCAAGAGCAGCAGTGGATATTCTCTTCCCTGCCTGGTCAGGGAGAGCCAGTGCTCCCCATAACGTGGATCCCCAGATCTTGTAGACCACTAGACTTCCTCATGCCTCACACTTGTGTAAGTATCCTAACAGCACAGGTATGCAAGAGTTTTCAGGATTTAGCATAATCCACCTCAGTAAGAAGGCAGGGTGGCCAGGTCTGGCTGCTTTTAGCGGCTGGAAATCGATCTCACACACACCTGAATTCTCATTTTGTGCCATTCAATTAATTCTGAGCATTTTACTGGATTTACAAATTACTTTCTTCAATACTTATTCAGATAATTTTTTACCTCTCACAAGTGACAGCTGTTGGCATCAAACCAATTTTAATGTTGACCATCTAAGAGAAAACAATATAGTTTCTGAAAGCAAACTGAGAAAAGTGTGTGTTGGAGGAAGGGGGGGCAGCAGGGGGACAATCAGTGCCTATAAATACATGTATATAAATATAGGAAAAATAAAGACCTGCAGTGAGAAACTTTTCACAGCCTGTATAGGAGAAATCTGTATAGGTAAGATATACCTGGAAACATTTCTGTCGATTTCGGTTGGCTTCAATTCAGTCCATTGGTATGAAAAGGTATAAAGAAATCATTTCATTATGGACTGGTTCGCAATTGCTCATTGTCAGACACAGAGAAAGTCTGCATTGCTACTGACAATGCAGCGTCTGCTGTGGAGGTAAAAATCTCCCACTGCCATTACAATCAAAACACTTTAAACCGTTCAAGATCTCAGGTGATCTGATTAAGGGACATCTTTTCATCCCCAGTATAGTGGGCTTGGTACCAGTGACTGCAGAACATAAAAAGGAAAGGCTGAATGAATCACAGTGTTTGTAAGGAAAGGCTGTAGAAAATACTGCAAGGAGGGAAGGAAGCATCTCCTTCTTCCCAGACATAGTCAACAACTGTTTGCATAATTGCATTTGGCTGCTTTAAAAATAGATAATGTTAGGCATGGCTGATATAGATTAAAAACTATTATTTTTACCACAAATAGTATATGTAAACACTTCCCTCTTCACGCTGAGCTTCTGCAAAATATAATCAGAAGTGTAATTTAGGTAATTGATATGATTGTCTTTTGCTTGGCTTGGTTTGTTGGCACTCTGTTTCCACCTATAAAATTCTGTGGGATGTAACCATTACTGTGCCAAATGAACTATGTTTTGGTTTAACAGCTTAAAAAATGGAAAATGCTGCGACCTACACTGCAATTGCTGAAGCACCAGACACTGACAACATATTTTTCTTTCCCACCGTAAAGAGGACATGGTTGGTAACTAGAAGACCTGGGTGATACTGTAAGGATGTCCTCAGTTTCTCTCCACAGCAGCAAGCAGATATCTTATTTATTCAATTTCAGTAAAGTCTGAATAATGTCGACCTTCCAGCACAGGGCAGCCCACATCTCTTCTCCACTTTTCATGTAAATGATTATCATGTGAGAGGTGAGTGGGAAAACTCTGTCATCATGCTAAGAGGCTCTGTGTAAAAAAATACTCTGAAATATAATCCATATTTAAATAGGTCCAGTGGGATATTTCATATAGCATTAAAAAAAGAAAAGGATAAATAATTCCACATGCTACTCAGTTTTCAGAACAGCACCTAAACGATCACTTCCTATGTTGTAATATCAAGATGTTGGCCTTCCTATAGCAGTTTGAATAATGCAAGGAGAGGTCTACATCAGAAATTAGGGTAAAAGATTTTCTATTGATACACTTCTGAAACCTTCAGGAACCGCTAGTAAAAGAGAAGTTAGCTGATTTTTGTTAAGGGGACCCGTAAGCAGAGTTGTGGTTTTCCTTCTCACAGCCAAGGGGGCTCAGAAACAAACAGACAAATGAGCATTCGTCTATAAATAGAATCCTGGTAAGCCTGATTGGAAATTAAGCAAGCAATGAAAATATGGCTCATTAGCCATTTTTCTGTCCCAGTCTCTCCATAACTTTTCCTGGTTTGCATGCCACCAAATATGCCACTGATGGACAAATTCTGGTTACCCCCTAAGTGAATTTTACATAGGTCTATTCCAACAGTCTGTGTAATTCAGTGACACTTTAGTATTTGTTTTAGTTCAGCCAATTTCTACACCTAGAACAGACCTAGATTGACTTTCCAACTCCTCAGGAAAAAATCATCTGCCTTTAAGAAGAATAACTATTTTTATGATTTAAATGTGTTCTGCTAAAAATATTCCAGCTAGCAGAATATTCCCTCATTGCTACATAAGCTACAATGCTCCTGCATCATTCAACACATCTTAACTAAATGACAGCTATGATTAATTAAAGCAAAATTGCATTGGGTAGGATGGTCACCTTCAGTACAATTAAAAAGAAATGTTCTGGTAGAAAAGAAGACTCATGCTATTCCTGCTCACCCAAGCTCTACTGCAAATATAGGCTGACAGGTTAATAAAAGCATTTCTAAACAGTTGTAGGAGATTGGCCATCTGATTCAAGAATTCTGTTCCTCAGTTAACTTATTATTCAGCTACTGAAAACTTCATTTTCCCATCTGTGAGATGACAAAGTCCAATGAAAACAATATTAATATTTATGTTCTAAATAGAACAGGCTTTCAAAGCACATTCATAAAGTGGAAAATAAAAGAAGTTTATCCAAAACTTTCTGGCGTTTTGCATATTTCAAATTTTTCAGCCTTGCTGCCAGGATTTGTTGGCTTAAGAGTAAGAAGTTACATTTTATAAAAGTTATTAATGTAGGTGGATAGTGATTTAATTTTTATATCATTTGAATGATGAGTTTCTATTATATGGGTCAGTTAATTTTAACTACAGTTCATACTGTTAAGAATACGTATTCCAAAATTGTCCACAGGTGGGAAAAATATATTTATTGGGGCTATTTTAAATGTTTCATGATAGTAGTGTTTATGTCCTATATAAATATTATTCAATAGAATGTGTGTGTGTATGGACACAACTCAGAGCTACTGGCAAAAATGATAAGGATATGAAAATACTTTGGAATTAACAGCCAACTTTTTTTCTTTCATATACAGGGTGTCATTTTTAATTAATCATGTTGTTGCTTTTCTAACTTAACTTGTAGTGTATATTACTAAGGTATAAACCAAGCAATGAAGATGATGAGAATCATTTGTGTTTATGCGCATAAAAAAAAAAAAAAAAAAAAAAAAAGATCTATAGCTGACCATGGAACTAGGATAGCGAAAATGGTCTCTGAAATATGTATCTCATCAGCCTCTCTGGACTGCAATCACTGCTTTTGGGGAAAGGAAAATGTGCGGTGGACTACAGCAGATTCACTCCTAAAGTGGCGCGTGTTGTTTCTATAAGGCACTCATTTTTTACTGCTGTGAGTTGGCACCATCATGTGGCCATTTTTTGTTTGCTCAGTTTAAGTAACAATTTACAGAGAAAAATGTTTGCAATGAATTAATTAGAATTTACAAATCACTTCAGTCTATTTTAGAAGGAGATGGTAACATATCTTAAATATGTTTACTAAATTGTGAACACATTGTCTTAACAATTGTCCTTTTTTCCCTGAATCCGTCCTCATTTAATCATGGTTTTCCTCATAATCTTTAAGTAAGAAGTTGTTAGGCTACAAAAATCAAAGACATATTCAGTGCTTGGTCTTGGTCCAAACGTTACCAATAGTGTATAAAAATTAGTATCATATTATAGACAACTATCCTCTTCCTCACTACAAGAGCTTTGGAAATTATTTGCAGGATTAAACAGGTCAGTATTTTCTGTTTTACACAAGAAATCCCAAAGGATTTAGAATTTCGGTAAGTCTCACAAGCATATTGTTTACATAGTTTGCTCCAAACAGGTAGGGTACATACCAGGACAACTTGAGTTAGTCAGGTATTCCTTTTGCAAAGTTTCAGGGTCAAAATCAGAAGTAAGAAGGTATCATGCGATGTAAATTGGTATTCTGACATGTTTGCATAATGTTTTTAGGTAGATATAAGAAAGTTTTACCGAGTGTAAGTGTGTAAAAGGCCCAGAGGTAGAAATCTCTATATATTCAGGTTGCTTATACAGAGGCACAAGTCACCAAAGGACTGCTATCATTTACTTCACAGTGGAATAATGAGAAACAACAGTGTAATTTATAGGAATATATTTTCGGTATTTTTAAAAAATATATACATCTAAACTTTTTTTCAATAATTAAATACAGTTCATCTTTTTGAGTACATTAATGCTAAATTTGTTTCTGTCATTTTTATGATAAATTGTTTCAGCTGAAATGTTTTATTGATACTTTTAAATATATACAAGTTGCATACAATATTACATTGCAAATCTTTTAATTGCAGTCAAAAATAATTTCAATACTTTGCAATAATTTGTACACCCACATAGGTGTAGTGTTTCTAAAAAGACTGCAATAAAATCAAATGTAGTTTTTCAGATTCCTCAGGCTGAGGTAATGCCCACTTCTTCTTTACACACTGAATGTCTATCTGTCCAGATTCTTTGGCCAGTGCAATGCCTAACAATCCATTTGTTCTTTCTGGTTCTCCCAGTAGAGCCATAGTTACAACACTGAAATCAAAAGAATGGGGGAGTTTTTTTTAATTGAGGCAAAATTAATAGAAATTGGTGCTTTCAAACATGTTTTTAGCAGGTTATTTATAGTTAACTAGATGATTCCTTTTTTCTGCTCATCACAGTGTAGTATTTCTCACTATTTCAAGTCCCATCATGTTTGTCAGCTTTTCACCAGTTGCAATAATTTAATGCAAATAGACAATTCTTCCCCTGTTCACAGATTCCATCAATTTCTAATCATGACTTAGAAATTTTTTCAAGCTTATGAAAATTAACTATGTTTTATGGTATTTTCCAGTACAGTGTAGCAAGTTTAAAAATTATATTATTTTCTCCCAAAAGTAGCAGTACTTTGCTATAGTTACAAGGCTACAATGAAAACTTTTAGTTAGAGTTATTCACTAAAACTACCTTAGGCCTAGGGAAGGCAGAGTGTCCCAGTAGGGCTCCCATCAGGGAGGAAAGAGAATCCTCAAGACTATAATTCAGAAAGGCTAAATTAAACTATTTTTCTGCATCAATCTGCAGGATAGCCAGGTCTCTAAAACACTGGCTACAGGAACAGTATTGTAAGACTACCCTGATGTTAGCCTTGGTGAATGTGTGCTAGCCAAAAATTTTGCTTACTTGTGACAAGGAACACAATATATTTCTTTATATTGGTAACCATACTATATATATAGGCATTTTAAAATGTTGTCCAACACCTTGCATATTTTAGGGGTTGATCCTGATCCAGCAAAGCTATCTTTGAATTTAAAACAGTCAGTGATTTTAGTGGGAACAAAATTCTTCTCTTCACATAAACAGCAACTTCTTCATGTACAGACAGTTGTCCCAACTGATAACACTATAGTGATTTTGATTTATACTACCGTTAGTTCTCCTTTACCAGTGTTCTGGGTTGAGTGAGTGGTGGAGTTTTTTGGTGGCAGGGGAGGGGGCTATCGGGGCGGCCCCCTGTGAGAAGCTTCTCGAAGCTCCCCCAGCTCCAAGCCAGCTCCACTTCTGTTTGGGAAATTGAGCCAATCGGCTGCGCCTCTGCGATAACGTATTTAAGAAGGGACGTGGTGACTGGCAGTGGGACTTGTGAGGAGTTGCCACAGCTGCATGAACACCAAGGTCAGTGGAGGAATGGAGGAAGAAAGGAGGGGGGAGGTGTGCCGGAGCAGAGACCCCCCTGTATCCTGTGGGGAGACAGCAGGGTGGCCCCCCCCTGCCACCCATGAAGATCTACGGTGGAGCAGACATTGACTTATGGACTGTGGCTCCTGCTCGGCATAATCAAGGTTCTGTGCCCGAAGAAGGCCGGGGTCTCATGGGAAAAGGTAGCCCCGCTGCTGTAATTCAGTGCTGGGAGGATTGCAGCATGCGGGGGAGTCCCACGCCGGAGCAGCTTGGGAAGGGCTGCAGCCGTGGGAGAGAATCCAGTCGGAGGAAGTTAGTGACCCATGACGGAGCAGTGTGGGGAACGCTGCGGCCCGTGGGAGGAACTCATGTTGGAGAAAGTTTGTGGAGGACTATCTCCTGTGAGAGGGGGACCACGATGGAGCAGGAGGAACAAGTTTCGGACACTCCCCTCACCGAACATGAAGAAAGTGGCAGCGCTGACTGCACCCCCCATTCCCTGCCCCTGCGCCACTGGGGGAGGAGGTAGAGATATCGGGAGCAGAGCTGAGCCCGGGAAGAAGGGAGGGGTGGGGGGAAGGTGTTCTCAAGATGTGGCAATGCTTCTCACTGTCCTACTCTGTTAAGTGTTGTTAGTGTCTGTGTCCTGGTTGGGGCTGGACTAGAGTTCCTGTTGGTTTTAGTAGCTGGAGGAGTGCTGCAGCACAGAGACCCCAGGGGCTCCCCAGGTCCCAGTGCCCTCACCTGTGTGCGGGGGCGGGGGAAGCACAGCTGGAGGGCTGGGCCGGGATTGGCCGATATTCCATGTCATGTGACCTTGTGCTCACTATATAAAGGCAGGAGTGGGCCGGGAGAGGTGGCCACTTTTTGGAGTGTTGCTGTGGGGTCTTTGTGTTTGGGGTTGCTGGCCGGGAGCAGGCGGGTGTCTGTTGGCGGGTGGTGAGTAGCTGTATTGTACATTACCTACTGCTATTGCTGTCAGTGTATTATTCAGTTACTATTATTAAACTGTTTTTATCTCAACCCGCAAGTCTCCCTTTGCCCCTCTGATTCCCTCCCCATTCCCAAGTGGGGGGAGGGTGGGTGAGCGACTGTGGGGCATTTAGCTGCTGAGTAGGCTCAAACCACAACAGTCTGTAATGTCTGTAATAAATGTATGTTCTTTTTTTTCTTCCCCTAACGAGTCTGCCTCTTGCTCGTGATCATAAAGGGGAATTTTTCCCCATCCCAGTCCTATCTCGAACCCCAAGCCTGGCTCTCTGTCCCTTCTCATTGCCGGAAGGGAAGGGAGAGAGAGCTGCTGCATTGTGGTTGGCTGCTGACCAGGCCTAAACCACGACAATCAGACTGTATAAAATAAGTAAATAAGGATAAACTAAAATTTAGCTCGTTATATTCTCCTTCCGCACCTCCAACAGTTTAAAAATCACTGTTAGAAAAGCAAATTCTAATGAAAATGTAACATCAAGCAAAAAATCCCATCCAAACTCTAATCATAATGTAGATTATAATAATATTAGTATTTTGTTTAAAAGAGAGTAATATAATGTACTTACGTCTCTGACGGAATAGTCTGCTTTGCCACAGGGAACAAATCATTTTCCAGAAGATCCCAAATATAAATATTAGATGATGCATCCAGGACAAAAAACACAGCTGGTCTTGTTAAAGCCCACTGCAAGGCAATAACTGGTTGGCCATTGGTGCTGTCATTCCACTGCATGAGGGGATACTCTGATGTCATTTGGTGTAATCTAATACTTCCATCTGAACAGCCAACCTATATCATAGTCAAAAAGAAAACACTTCCTGGTAACAAAACAAACTAAGCAAGATGAAAACTGCAATCCAATTCTTGAGATTATCAAGCATATAAATAAAATTAGTAACCTGACTCGAGTGGCACATATCTCTTATATCTGACTTTATGGACTATCTGGATTTTAACTTTTAATATAATTTTGAGTTCAAAAGCAGTAACTCTGTACTGAGCGTACTAGAGTAACCTAATCCACTAATCCTGGGTTGAAGCTCTAATTTCCTATTTTAAAAAAATTCTAACTATCAGCTTCAGTAATACCATGATCGAGCAGAACCTGACAGTAGTCTGAATCAGGGTGAGGTCAGAGCCTAGAGACCAATTCAGACAGCTAGTGAGTGACACATGTAATCTGTAAAACCAAGAATAGCTTTCAGAAGCACAGGCTGTGCTTAACAGTATAATGATATTAAACTGATTCATAATGAACAACTAAATCCAAAGACAGGCAGATATCACTGCTTCCAGATATTTTCTTATAATCTCTGTCTTGGCCAGTGTAACATTTACAAAATTGCTTTAATCCAGGTACAAAAAAAATTATTCTATGAAAACAGAAAATAACTTGCTTTTACTACCTTGGGCCACCTCTACATCAGAAAAACTTCCTAGAATTTTCCAATTATCATGACTTTTTACAGTGATTGCAAACTGTGCTAACATTTAAAAGGATTCTTCAGATATAAGCCTGTAGAAATTAGTATCACTCTTGATAAACGCATTTGGGAAAAAGGTAAGAACATCCATACTGGTAAAAGAAAGTTCTGACTGTGCAGGGGATGGCAAAAAATATGTACACTGCAGCCAAACACATTCATTTTATACCTTAGGCAATTCCAAAGACGTCAGGTAGATCATGACAAAGTTAGAAAGAAAGCCTTTTTAAGAGAGATCAAGTACAAATATATGCAAAGACAAGCAGATGGAAAATCCTAACAAAGTTAGATTCAAGTTGCATTGAATAAACTTTTACCAGGGAGACATAAAAACAGTGGGTGTGTCAACACGGACTGCTGAGGTTAGATTTGAACACAGCTGACCACACGGTACACTGTCAGGCATACCCTGAGGGTACAGCCGATGTGGAGAGGAAAGGGAAGCATGGAATGCCCAGAGCTGCTACAGAGACCTTTATTTCACAGCAATACAGATATTTTGTCTCCAAAATTATTAAGTCACTAAGAGATGTATGATAAGAGTGAGAAACAGCTGAGGCTTCATTAGCAGCAGAAAATCTGCTTGCAATGCTGAATTTCAGTAAAAACAAAGAATAAGTTATAAGGCTGAAGTGAGATTGCCATCTGTTTCTGTGAGCCAGATGGTCCACCTTTTACATAAGCAAAGTTCAAACACCAGGATGCAAGATTTGTTGTCACCCTTCATGGAAGATTGAAATTAGTGAGGTAAATCAACTATCACATCTAGTTAAATACATCAAATTAGAAATCTTCTCTCAACAAGTAATTAAAAAATGAAACTTATATTAAAATGTTTTCATACCAAAAAAAGTGGCTTTCCAAAAGGGGAGAAATCAATTGCGTTGATGCTTATTGATCTCACTCTGCTCTCTTGGGGTCTGAATAGCTTTGGAAGAACTTTTAAATCATGTCTTGTACCATGGCCTACCAGCCCCTATGAACAATATAAACAAAATTAATTAAACAAAATAAAACAAAGATACTTAATAGCTAACAAATTTTGATAGCAAGCAGATTTTAATAATAGTCTCAAATTATAAATTTTATGTACAGTCTGCTGGTAAAATTTCAAGTAAATGTGGCAGCTTCCAAAATAAAAAATAACAATGAGATTAATTTCAGCAGATTACTCACAATGTTTGTTCCAACAATGAAATGATTAGGATTAGAAGACAGAAATTTAATAGTCAGTGTCTGAGGCATTCTCTGGCGCACATCCTTTGGGAAAAGGCTAGGAAAAACATAAAGGTAAAAGATGACATAAACACAGGAAGTTGTCTCCTAAAGCTATGCAAATACATACAGAAAGTAAATCTAAAATGTCTATGACTAGCTCTAGGAAGAAATGTATATTTAAAAAACCCCAAACAACAAATTAAAATATTGTTAAATATATCTTACATAACAGCAAATTAATAACGTATAGGAAAAATTAGCTTTGTGAGACATACGTGTAAAATCTAAAAGACCCTGTTTTCTTACCTGTTATTCAATTCCATAGTAGAGCTATGTACTAACTTCACTTTCCCCCCAGGAATTAAACCTAAAATTAGATAAAATAATTATTTAAACTGATTTAAGCACTTTGCGTTATGAATTACTATCATCAAATTAAAACCTAAGCTAATATGTAAAAGAATATTTCATAAATAGTTTATTGTAGATATAGCTTTTGATATGTAAGAATACATAATTTATAACTATTTACTTCAGAATTCAAATCTTAAGAGTTGTAATCTTTGATAGAAATCCAAGAAAAAAGACAGAGAAAGGGAAACCTGACTATATGTTTGTTTTAGTTTTACAGTATGGATAAAAAAATCCTGTAATATCACTCTATAAAACTCAATTCTATCAATGGCAAAAATGCACAGTTATATCACTTAGATCTTTAAAAACTAATTATATTAATGAGACTGTAATAATGCTTCCATAAAGTTGCTCTATGTTACTTGTTAGTAGAGAATAACAGAAATAATTCAAATCCTTCAAACACAATAATTTTTTGAAGAGGAAAAACTGTGTCAAAACACAACCATAGCTTTAAAATGTACCTCTCCACAGACATCATAGCCAGCTTTAGCAGCTTAATACAGCCAGACATTGCACACGAGCTCATAAATTCGAACACTGATCAAGAAATCTGATTTGTTAGCATTACTTCAGTGTTTATATATCTATTTTAAAATGTATCAGGATTTTAATCACAGCCTTTTCCAGTTAGGTAAGTATGTGAGTCTAAATTTGTTCAAAGAACAGAAAATATCATTTTCTTCTTTCATATAACTCAAAAAGGGCTGAATTGACTTTGCTCTTTACTTTTTTTCATGGAAATTTTTGCCTCATATTAAATTAAGTATCTTACCCAAAAGAGAACTTTCAGGGCAATCTCATATTTTTGAAAAAAAAAAAAAAAAAAAAAAAAGATGTTGAAAACACAGAAATCTGCTGTGACATTATAAGAAATGTGATTGTCTGGTGGCAGTTACCAGTACAGAATTAGCAGATAAGATTCAGGTAGCAGTGAAAATAGCTCTCATGATACCTAACCCATAACCCCAAATATGTGTCCTATTCAGAATTAATCTTTTCCTTAGTAATTTTGCTTTCTTCTAAATTATTTTTTGTCATCACTGACTCTTTCTCTCTCTTCTAACTTTATAATTTCAAAACTCAAGCACTTTATTCTACTTCTAATGTACAGTACTTACCTAAATCAGTTTGTGAACCAGCTAAATCCACTTTTTGTAATTCAACAACTACCTGAAAAGTCAATATTTAACATTAATAAGCAATAAATATTTACCAGACTTTAAATTTAGTTTTTCAACTAGTTGCAATAACGTATGATATAACTCTAAAGAAACATTTAGGTAGGTGTAACACTACAATGATTACAGGTAGATTTTCTATCCCCTGTTAATGTCTGCAATGCCAAAACCAGCTTCACATACCTACTGGAAAATAGAATATAGGAAGCTACATTCTACACTTAATTGCTTGTTAACATCCTATGGGTTTGGTTGGTCACAAAAAAAAAACCCTAAACCCCAAAATAAGGATTTGTAAGACATTTGCTCTGCTTTTCACTATTAATGAAATAGAAAGGGTAGATAATTTGGCCTGAATCTGTTGTAACTAAAGTTACTTAGAGCTTTAAGGGACTTAACTGGTGATACAGAAGGGAGATACTTTTATCCCCCTACTATTTACTGAGCCATTCAGTTCCTCAAGCAAGGTCAATTCAGATGCAAACAACTGGTTCAGCACCTGAACCAAAGCTGCATCAGAAAAATACTGAAAACATCTGATAGAAAGAAGAGTTGTCAGAACAAAAATTAAGAGCAACAGACCTGGTGCTTACCTGCCCATCATATCTTAGGCACGGTAATCTTATTCACAGATTTTCATTTTGCCTCTTGAACATTTATTTTATATAAATTATTAATTTATTTTCTCACATTCAATACAGTCTCCGACACCACTGTGATTCAAATAAAATAAAGTAGGTGGGTGAAAGAGCCCTGAGTGTTATTCAATTAATAGAAATATGTGAACATATTCCTATCAAGCAGAACTACTGATTGCCCGTTTTCATGAATTCATGTACCTATTAATAGTTTTGCCTAAGTATAACACCATGGCATTAGGGAGTCAGGTCAAAAATTTTGAGGAGAATTCCAACAGAATGGCTAGTGTTGCTGTAGGGACGAAGTTCTCATCAGAAATCCTGGATTCGGGTTGCTGTATTTAAAGAAGTATTTTATTATTCCAACATGCGATACTCTCTCTTTTCATACACATATTACTCACCCACATACTGAGGATTCCATTTTCATCCATTGAAGCTATCTGAAATGGAGGACCTGACATTTCTACGGAATAAATAGTAACAATTTATATTCATACATTGACCTTCATCCTGAACAATATCAAAGGATTTGAAACATTTCCTAGGTTAATATATTCTCTGAAAATTTTATGATGCTCTCAGCTTCATAAAAAGGGAAAGTGCCCTAATTCTACCAAAGAAGAAAAAAACATGAAACTAGTATGTTTAGTTTGTCCTACCAGATAGGCAGATGTTCTCTGTCCACATCTTTTAAAATGTCTGGATTCTGCACGGACTTTGGAACAGAACATAAAGTGCAATAGATGAAATCTTGTAAAGCCTGCAATACGCAGCACATTTCTTTGGACTACTTTGGATTTCAAAGTGAAAATCTGTATATGGAAGTAAATAATGTCTCCTCTAGCACACTGCCTGAGAATCTAGGGGCATGAGGATTCAAGTTTCTTTGCAAAGGTTGGTCATAAAAAAATTAGGCAAAAGGCACAGGAAGAACCACCAAGTACAGGAACATATTGTAAGTGCTTTCAAATATAAGTAAGTTGCTCCACTTTTTTAGATAGGGGGATTTTTGACATGATAGGAGCACTAAGACTTCTCTAAAGGCATTCTGATTTCTTTAAAGACATTACAGAAGCTCTAAGATTTCTCTAAAGGCAGTTTTGGAGTGACAACTTGTTTTATCATGGAAGAACAAAATATTGTCTTATAAACAGACATTATAACAAGCATTCACCCACATCTGATGAGAAGTTGAGTTGGTACTACATTAAAATGGGAGCAGAAGACAAACATGAATGTTGTATGCAACTGATACTACAGAGAAATGAGGCAGAATAGAGTTATAAACTGGATTTTGGTGATATATATTTGTTTCACTAGATACCTAAAGAAGGACTCAGACGTATTGATGCTTTGAAGAGCAGCTTACATACCCTCTTGATAAGAGAGGCTTGAGAGCCCATAATTCTGATCACTGTAGAGAGAGGTTGAGACAGGTTCCACTGCTAGTATAGGAGAGGTGTGGTTTACCGAGTTTAGAATGCCATCTGTAGTTAAGGATAGTGAAGAGTAAACACTATTATTTTTAACACAAACAACAACAAAACCCTAATCACTTTTCAGCTTATGGGAAAATGATAATTACAAAGAAAGAATGGCAAATAATAACTTAATAAATAATTACTTCGTGAAAGTCTCAAGTAAAGTACTGCAAACTCTTAAATTAACAAAATACGACCAGATAAATCAATGTTTCACCATCTGTATTTACTTCTCATTTTCCAAATGACTGCTGCACCATTTATGCCACTGTACCAGACATTTCATTAAAATCTGCTATTGCAGGGTTAACATGAAAAGAATTATGTTAATTTCAAGCTCTATAAATAATGCTTAGTATAGAAAAGACAAAATAGAAGAAAAATTACTCTTACACAGTATTATTTAATAGAAAGTAACTACGCTGACACAAACAATTCACCACAAGAATATATGTATTTACCCTTTAATAATATTTTTAAATAAAGGTATATTTAGAGCAATTTCAATATTCGTTTTTGTCAGATACTCTTTATTTCTGGATTTGTTCTGTGCACTTAACTTAATCTCATTTAAGACCAAAGGCATAAAGCTTCCTAAGTATACAGCATTAAAAAATGCTTGCTTATATAAGCAACTACATGAAACTGTATACATACATTTGACTACCAGCCCATTACGCAACACAAGACCAAGCATCTTTGATCTACTAAAAACACTAAAAGTCTATCAACAACGAACTAGTGTTTACTTTTACACAGCTACTGCAATTAGATACACTTATGAACAGAAGAGGACTTTGTGCAGGTATGTGGTGGGTTTTTTTAAAAAAACAGTATTACCCCGGGATAAGTTAAATGATAGCGCCTGCACACATACAAAAAAGAAAAATACATAAAGAAGGATTTATTATGCAGTAATAAAATTATTTACAAAAACATTGCTATGTGTTATTTTTCACTCTAGGGTACAATACAGTGCCAAGAAAAATGGCACCAATTTATAATTAAGATTGAGACAAATGCATTTATGTAACATCTCATTCCCAATCTCTCAACGTACAACTACATACAATGAAAATGTCAGTAAGATTAATGACTTGCTCCTCTCTCTAAATTTGCAATGACAAATATTAGTAATAGGCATGAAGATCCATTCATTTCCATCAGATTCATAAAATTGTAAGGATCTCAAATACCAATTCAAATGCAGAGTGAAGTACTTCAGATTGTGTCTTCTAGTATGTCATCTATCTGCCCTAAATAAACCTCTGTAACTTGAAATTGTCATCCTTGGGTTGTAAGAAAATTTACAAAAGCCTATGTTATTTTGATCATACATTAAGGAATCAGAAGTGTAGAAAAAGAGAAATGCAATGACCAGTAAATGTCAAAGGATGAAAGGAGGTCACCCACAAGAACTTTTGATAAGTAAACTTTCTTCTGGCTTCCCAATTTGTATGCAACACTAATTTAGGCCGTATCTAAACAATGCAGAAAATTCCACGTTATTTTTTGTTGCTGTGCTTCTCTTCCATCAAGAATCTGCAAAGAGCACTATATAGAACCCAAATGGCCCCAGTGCTAGCGAACTTGTTTAGGTGACAAGCTGGATGAAAGTAAAATGTATGTCCAGGTTTTGCTCCAACATGCAGTCGATACCTTTCTAGCGATACCAAATCAGAGAGCTTTTGGGCCCCAAAGTTTAGTCACAGCTTCAGAATACTTTCAATGAAAGACTAAAAGTAACTGACTGCTGACTATGGAACTTAGAACTCAACTTAAACCACTGTATAGACCACCTCTGACATTTAGCCTTCAGACACTACTTGTTTCCAATGATATGGTCCCCATATATGCTGAACCAATAGTATCATAAAAACACAGTTGTGTATGTAATGAAAATATGAGAAATTCCTATATCTTACATTGCCATAATAATTGATAAGTTGGCAATAAAAAACCACAATCCTCACACAACTTTAAGTCATAAAGTTAAATAAGTGGAATTTTAGAAATGCATAAAGGTGATATTCAGACCAAAGATTAAGACATTTTAGATGGTATATACATATAAAACAGCTGTATAATATCTGTAAGTGAACTAAATCTAATTAATGCAACCAATCCAGCTAACCATATACAGTTATCTGTATTAGGAGGAGATTAATAGCTCTCTGGAACCCACACAGTAGCACTGCACTGATTCTAAGCTTGTATACACTTGGATACATATCTTGCATGCAATCTTATAAAAACATCAAGACTTAGGTGACAATTTGTACGTATTGCGACCTTTAAATGACATTTGAAAAACTGTGTTTTACAGTCTTAATTTGATTTTTTTTAATACATCTTAATAGGCGTGCTTAGATGTAGATAAAAAAGAAACGCAGGTTATATTAAGGGAGATAAAAGGATGAAAATTGACTGAGCTAATGATTTCTGATGAGGTAGTAGTAGAGTCATCCATTTTAATATTACAATGCTTCTTAAATTCTATACCTGGTCCACCTCTCTATTCTCACTACTTGATGCATACTGAGCTGGCTTACATTTCGTTACAGCTATTACTGACTGGCAATTTTTACTAAACTAAATATCATCTCTGAAATGTCTAAACTAGGCTACCAAGAGCGTTCTTAGAATAATTAATACTGGAATTGTCTCACTGCCCACAAAATGACTAATCAGAATGCACAGATACTAACCAGTGGAAAATGTTGGCACTCTAAATGTCCAGTCAGTTTCACTGATCATCATATGAGGATGCATTCTTGAGTCTTCTCGAAGATCCCACACCAACAATGAACCATCTGTTGTTCCAGCAAAAACTAATGTTGTTTTATTGGGACTAAAGCAGCAACATATCACCTGTTAAGCAGTAAAAATATGCATGGCTGATATTATAATAAAGGCCAATGGTTTGGTAAGCCTGAAATATGTTTGTTATTCCTAGGCATGCAAATCCAGAAAAGACAGATTACAGGTGTTTGCAGTACTTAAAATGGAAGTAGGATACAAGACTTTCAATAGGCCTTCCCTTGTCAAGACAACTGTGTAATCTGCATCTACTGCCACAAAGCTGAAGGGGTTGATTCAACTCTATGATAGTGAGGGGTAGAGAGAAGTCCTGACAACATCTGAACCAGCCATTTTACTTCCTTTCACTCTTCAATGATGAGAGGGAGTCAAAATTTAAAAGAAAAAACAACACAACATACACAATGACCACCACTACATTCTAGCACTAGAGCAGAAAATGGAATGAGAATAGTACTTTGCTCACTAGGCTCAAATGTGTTTCTCAAAAGATGACATAACTTGCAGCAAAATAAGAGAACAATTACACATAATAAAGCCTTTTATTCAATGGGCAAATATACAATGTTATTAAAACATACCTCTGAGTCACATATTAAAACCTTCTGAGGACTGGAGGGCTGCCAGATGTTCCAAACACATATGATGCTCTTTCTGTTCAGTAAGCCAACATCTGCCTTTTCAGGTAATCCATGAACTGAAAGTAGTGTCTGCCTCTGAACTTGAGAGACATATAGGCAGGATATTTTTCGGTCTAATCCATTTAAAAAAAAATCAAGAAAGAAAAGCAATAAATAAAAAAGTAAACTCACTTCAGATGAAAAAGCATATTTAGCTGCTATAGCAACAACCAAGGAAGTTAAAACATAATTATGAAGAATATTTCTATTAACAGTGGAATGCTATTGACGTTATACAAGAAAAAAAGGAGGGACTAGAGAAGGAATCCAAAAAATTAGAACTAAATAGAAATCAAAAATGCAGAGAGACAGGAAGTTAACAGAATAATTATTCTGGGCATAAGCAACCAATCTGATCTGACATTGGTATATGTACTAAAAATTAATATAAATCACAATCAGGAAACAGCACAGGCCAGGCTTTTTCTAGTTCATCTCATGTGTTTGTCTTAGAATACGTATGGTTTGGTGTTATAATAGGTCTTCCTAACATAATTAAAGATGCTTTATTTTTAATTTTACTTTTCATCTGAACATCTACTGTTTATATGGGGAAGATATAACTGCAGTTCAAATATATCAGGCTATATTCTCCCTGTTAAACAATGTTGCTTTATTTGCAACTTTGGCCTTACTGTCAGCATAAAGAGCCTAAATAAAATTACACTTCTTGGTATGGCCCTTCAAGAGGGGCAAGAAACTACACCCAGGGCACCCCTACATCATGCCAATTGCTGGCTAGATTTCTGGTTTCATAGCAGCTAGGATGCTCTGATGTGCCCTATGTGAAACTAATCTGCACAGTTACATTAAGATTAGTGCAATTAAAAGAAAAGTGGGCTTTATATCATCTATATATCCTGATAAGTGCTCTTTGCACTTCAGTCAAGACAGAGCATGGTATTTTGCACAGGAAAGAGTTCACACTGTGTACTAAAAGGTGTAGAATAAAGGTGTTCCCTTACCATTGAGGAACTGCTGGTTAGTATTTAACTGGAAACAGCTATCACTAATAGACAGACTGGTTTGTCGAGATCTTGCTTTCCACCTGGGTTGTGTTGCAACTTGATCTTCCTCTAGCAAAACAGCAATCACCTTTCAAACACAATTACATTTAGAGAAATAAAAGGGTCATCTTATCTTTCAGCTTTGATATTTGTAGCTTTCTAAAGTATGTGGATTAATTTCATAAAATTTACCAACTCTCTTGTTAATTTTATTTGCAAATACAGCTTTACGGACACAAAAGTTGCATGGCTCTGGTTCCATTCCTTTGCAGAGAGATGAATCTCATTGATAATGGGTATTATTTAATGTATTTAAATTAGTCAGAACAAGTACTGTAAGTGATCTATCATACTGTACATTTATGCACAGAACTCACAAGGGATATTAATTATGTAAGTGTACCTGGCAAGCAGACCGGAGGAAATTTGCTAATCTTTGTGAATCAATTTTAGGTGTTAGAGCTCCATTCACTGACATATCCTGGCTGTTTATGGAACCTAAGCAAAAAAACAAAACCAAAAACTAAACTTGAAGCTTCAAAGGGGAATCAATTAAGAAAACCATAAGAACAATTAACTTTTTAGGCAAGAGGAGAGTGGAAGGAATCAACTCTTCAGCAGAAATAATAGTATTGAAGAACAAGATCTGTTGGGGAATTGTATCTGCTGCCAACAGAAATAGCAATCCAGAAGGAAGAAACTATTTCTGCCACTTATTCTCCACCCCCTCTCCACAAAGGGATGCAGAGTGCCTATAGCAGTTTGCTATCAATGCAGCCTGCCACATTACAAATTCTGACAATAGGTACAAAAGAGAAAGTTTACATGCATTCATGCATAAATGAGTAAGATTCAAATGTTCTTCACCTCCAGATACAAGGGCATCTTCTCCTGGATGCTGTGTCCACTTCTCCAATGTCTCAACTTCCTCAGTCTGAATGTCTCTCTCAAGATTGTCCTCGTTACACTGAACATATGCCTAAAGTAGAAAGATAAAGTGATCCATATATTGGTGACACAGCTAAGAATGACAGCACATAACTGAATAGAACTTAAACAGTCATTTTAAAACTGACTTGCGCAACCTCTTCTATTTGTAAATTCAGACCTAACCATACCGACACAGTGTCACTACTTTGTGCATGCACATTTTATCACATTTCACACAAGAGTGCTAGACCTACTGCAAAAATACAGAATGTCTTACATGATGTGCAAACTCTAAACCCAGCATACTTGGAACAGTGAGTCACAAACATAAAGTCCTTTAGAAAATGGGGAAGGAACATAAGAGAGTCCTAATAGAGAAAGGAAATGGCCCATCTGGCCAAAAGTTTTGATACCGTTGCTTTACAGTAATTAAGGCTTAATTAATTTATTACTTTACTGTCTTATTAGCTTTAGTAACTTCCTTTTGTAAGAAAAATTATTTCCCAGAACAAGAATCAGCACTTTCAGGATTTAAATATTACTACATATTTGCTACCCACCTGCTTAGTGTTCATTTTACCAAAATTCCTGATATACATGTCGTACTCATTTACGGGAGGCAAATCCAATAAAGAAAAACTAACTGAGAAGTCCAGATCAATCAGTGGGAGGAGTTCTGAACTCCGTTTTCTTCAGAATGGATTACAAGAGAGAAACACAAAAATGGTTAAGACCAAATATTTGGTATTCTGAAAGAAAAACCACCTGATTTTGTGCAGTACTGGAGACCTAACAATGCAAATTGAAGCTCTACTAACATTAATTGACAGATAAAAATATATCAATAGAAATACACATAATATTGTTATGAGTTCTCATTTAATGTTATGCTGAGATAATTATCATATTTGAAAATGCAATACTGATTGCAAATGGTAAACTTGTGTGGTTTATTATTAAACCCGAAGTGTCAAAGCTTAGCACAATCATCTTGCCTAAGTATTCAAAAGTTGTTCTATAAGGTAACAGAGGAATGTCTCTTTCTTCCTATAGTTAGGATGGTGGCTAATTCTCCTTAACTCATTTTATTAACTTATATCACCTATACAAGTACATGCTTTATAAAGATCATCTATAACATCGTGGTTTTGTGAGGCTTGACCTCCATTGGTAATAGACTGCTTGAATGCATACCTCATTACATCACTAGGGAAACAAATAACAATAGCAGTAATCCTAAATATATTTTAAATATATACATGAAATTAATTTATTGCCGATTCATAACCAGTGAACATGAATACTGACCTCTTCCCCAAAAAGTAAGCCTCCAAAACATATCAGTTACTGGACTACTGGACTTGATCTAACAAGTACTCAAGATTGAGGTAGACTATGCATTTTTTCATTTGTATTTTTTGTTTTTAATAAAATCAGCACATTGTACAGTATTTGTCTGAATCTCTTTGTTCTATGAAATTCTAAATCTTTCCATCTTTTCAGATTCCCTTCCCAGAATTACAAAAAAATAACTGCCTTATCCAGCTTCCCTCCATCCTTTTACTTTCTGCCTACCTTAACTCTTTTTTTTTCATCTTTACTCACAAATAAAACTAAATTTTGATTCTTAATTCGAAAACAAGTCTACCTTCATATACTCTATCTTACACTTACAAGTAAAAAAAATGTATGTGATATTAAAACATCTATGTGATATTAAAACATTTATGTGATATTACTTATTATCATCACCTACAAAGATATTCCTAACACTCCACTTGTATGGATCTGTGGACAATAAGAAGACAGTCAATCTTGGTCACAATTCACACAACTATCTATCTACTTTAATCAGAAAACTGTTAAGATATTTTATTTTAAGAGTTAATTGCTTAAATTACATGTAGATGTCTGTTTACAAGTTAATTCTATGCTCTTGCTATAGTACTGATTCCTTGAGGACATTTTTGTAGTCTCCCCTTTTCTCTCCTGCACTTTCAGGTTTTTTTAATATACTTAATATAAATACAGCCCAAATACAATTATGGGTCTGTACCAATTCCATATATAAACAGTATTACAGATGCATATTCTAATTGCAGTTTCTTCTCAGTAACTGACAGTCTTTGAAAAGGGAAAAGACTGGAGCAACATGAGCTGGAATTTCTCCTTCAATATTTTAGGCTGGATTATTTTTTATGCATAAAGACAATTTCACATCTCCTTTTTGCTACCTGATGACATCTATTGCATTTTCTTAACCATATTTTATTTTTATTTCCTAATCCACCACCTCTTCACAAACATTGTGGATGCAAATTGCTGAGATCTAATTCAAACATGAAATATGAAAGTTGCTTCCTAGTTACAAACCTTAATGATAAATTCGGACAGATCCTTAAAATAAACTAACAAGCCTCTTATTAATACTTACAAGTGTCACATCTCATTTATGTGATGCTTTCTGTCCATTTACTGGCAGCAATGTATTATCACAGTATTAAATTTCACAAACTCTTTCTCTTTCCATGAAAATGCTAGTTATCTTCACAGGCTATATGTTGTTAGCATGTAAACAAAGTTGTACACATAGTCATAATCATAGTACATAATCAGCAGAGGCTGACGAACATTTCATAAAGCAGTTCTTCTGAGACACCTTCCTGAATTTCCTGATCTCTCCACTGTCTAGAGAGGAAGCCTAGAAAATGAACTCACATAAAATTTGGGCATATACATTTAGTCAAGGTGAATTAGACAGCCTAGATAATAAAATCTCCCTTATGTTAAGATTAGCCACTGATGTGCAGAGACCAAGCAGTGGAATCCAGTATTATTAATAAAATTTAATATTCCTGCTTTAGGTGTCCAATTGAGGTAACAGAAAATTGGGGATATATACAGTGCTTCAGATAAACCTGGAGCTCCTGGCAAGTTCCACAACAAACAGGCATCAATTTGTTTCTTTAATGCAGAGCTGTCTTAGATGTCTCAAGTTATAGATCAGTAATAACATGGTTTTACACCAACTGGTGTTATCCCTGGAAGGGAACATGCTACTTTGGCAACAGTATGTACCACATAGTGTCTTGAATATTTCAAGAAATCACAGTTCTGTGGAGCCCTGGGTGCAGCTAAAAGTCTTGCTCTTTAGTACCATAAATCAATATCTAATTAAGTGACTGAAGAATCATACAAAAAAATTACAATCCTGACAACTCATTCTGTAATAAAATGAAACACATAAACTGATAAATTTCTTATATAATGACACATAGAAAAGCCTGTAAATTATATTTACTTAAGACCTAATTACTGTTAGCTTACAAAATAACATTTGACTCTAAAAGCCTCAAATTTATAAACTTCACATATTTCAAATACAATGAAAATAATTACACCTCACCCAGTGAGTCACCATTTTGTGTGGATTATTTAAAATACACTTACTTCTGCTTACTAGCCATACTTCGACTACTTTGTCGTTGGTTTGCCATTTGAAAATCCATGAATATTCCACAAAAAGAGTTTCTGACAGAAGGGTATTGCCTTTCTGTAATATTATAAAACATCGTTAGTGTTATAATTCACACTTTAGAGTGCATTAAAATGTAAAGCAGTAAGTCTAAAAAGCAACAGCTTTATTACAACACAGCCACTAAAAGTTACTAGTTCACACGTTACACAATGTGCTCTAGCACAGTTATCAGTACAATAAGCTTCCTAACTTCAGTAACGGGCCACCATTTTTCCCTCATTATGGTCCTTTACCTATCAATTCAAAATGACTGACCATTGTAATTCAGTTCAGAAGACTGATGCAGACAGTGCCTCTCTTCTTCTCCTGCCATTAGCAGGAGTTCCCCCTGTGTACAGTAAAATGCTCTGTGACCAATTCTAAAAATTGTATTAAATTCATACAGACTGTACCATGTGCGTGCTAGACCTCTAAATAAGAATTCATCACTACAGCTATTAGCGAACCTCACCAATACAAGCTTAACTGATGCCCTTAGATGAATAAGCAAAATATTGAAAACTGTTGCTTTAAGAGTCACGGTTAATGGAACAACTACAGTATCTGATGTCGTGTTGATTTTACTCCCTTTCCTGGCTAGGTGGTAGCTAATTGACCTTAATATCCAGCTTCCAGTCAGGACCAATGGTGTTTCACTTCCTCAAAGGAAGACTGTCTTTCCAGATAATACTCGTAAAATGCTTTGAAACTTCTAAAAGTCATTGTCAGAAGGATCAACAACCATTTTAATCAAATAAGATCAAAACTTCATAAAAAAAGAGAGCATTGTGTAATTTACAATAAAGCATGAAGTGATACAATTCAGAATTTTAAATCTAACTCTATTAGAATCCCATCCTGTTCATTAGATCTATAGCATTATTGGAATTCTTTTATTGATTCTGTATTGTTTATTGGAAAAATAGTAATTGCATAATTCTTCTGCAGCAAAAAGTTCATATTACAGCACACTGGTTCTGACTTGCAATGACTACTTAACTGAAAATTTATTGATACTATGAAGACTTACAGAAACTCCATGCTATTCTTCTGTGACTGTACCAATCAGAGTAAAAAGCTGTTTAAGATTCTCTTGTACAATGATTCTATACTGCCATTCACATGAGCCATTCATAACAGCTATAGTTAGTTAAATAACTAGATCTGGCACTCACAGATATCAGTTGAATTGGCTGAATACAAGACAATTCCATAGCCACATTTCAGAAAAAAACCTGCATTTTAGAAGTGATATAGAACAATATATTTATCTGTATTTCTCTCGCCTTCCCACCCAGAGCAGTGACTTCAACTTTGCTTAAAAGAAAAAGGCGAATTAATGTCACCGGAAGCCCCAAACTGTTCTAGCACTCCTCCAGTTTTCAAAATCCAGACTCTCATATCCTCTTCTTACCCAAAATAAGAGATACTAAATGTCAGTCTGTAAATTTTTATACTTCACATTTTCAATGATTAGTAATGCTTCTGAATCATTCTTTAGCAATGTGGAAGTTACAGTACTTACCCACAAACCTAAGTGACTCATCCAGAGGACCAGATTTCTGCCTCTAGGCAGACTTCTAGAAAAAGCGACCTGTTTACTCATAAGTTGTATATGTTACTCATAAATTTAATAAAAAAAGACTGGTATCTAGTCACATACCCTTGACTTGTTCCTTTTTTTCATTTTCAATATTCTTTGGCAGTGAAGTACAAATTCTATCATTTTCTGCACTAATTGCTCTTTGAATTTCTTCAATTTCTGATGTTTTGGAAAACTGAATCTCTCCTAGGTTTTCTTCTGCATCTTTTTCTTCACCACTTTTCTCTTCATCAAAATCATCTTCATAATCCTTTAAAAGTAACAGGACTTTCCATAACTAATAAACATGTATTATAGATGTATTTTTCAAGATCTTTTTAAGAATTTATAAAATGCTGTCAAAGTAAAAATAAAATTCTCATACAGATGGCTATAAATCTGACTAAAAAGCATTTTAAAATAACTGTTTAACAGAAAGGAAATGCCATGTCTTGATTGTGCAGTAATTTTAATCAAGAGAAGACAATCCCACAGTGTTATTTAATGCCCCAAATAGGTATTTTTTTTAATATCCTAAAGTAGGAACTGTCTGTTTGGGTGAATTATGTATTCTTTAAAGAAATTACAGTGTTCAGTGGCATAAATGCTTTATAGATGTATAAAGTTGTCTGATAGTTTTAATTCAAGCTGCCCTTCAATGGCAGGCTCAAATTTACTAAACTACCACACTATCTATTTGCAAGTCCATGCATAAGGCTCATAACTTTAATAATTCTCTTAACTAAGACAATTCACCTCAAGCTAAAATAATCACCTAACACAAATTATATGAACAAGTCTTAAACGTGTTCTTTTCTCTCTGGTGAATGGCAAAGGGATACTATAGTGAACAGCTCAACAGCAGAGATCACTCCTAAGTGGAGATGAATTCTAACTTAGCTGACAAAGATGTAGCTGGTTCAGCTAGAAATGAAATCACATTCAACACATTCTTCTATCTTGATAACTTTAAAATAAACCAAAAAGAGCTAAAAGAGAGTTCCATTAAACAAATTAGTGAAGAGACTGCTGTGTGTCAATACTTTTTTCTATTACATTTTTGCAATGAAAAACAATGAGGCTTCTTTTTCCTATGCAAATGAATATTTTAAAAATTCAGCATTTTTCACATAAAATCATTTCAATAATTGAAATCCAGGAAGACAGAAAAAGCATCTTTTGAACACTTCAGCTCTAAAGAAGAGTTGGTTCCCAACCCCCAAAGAAAATAACTAAATATATAGTAGAGAGTTTCTACATAACATTTTTTTTTTTTTTCTAGCATTAGCCAAGTTAAGGTCACTGTCACCAAGAAAGAATAAGTAAAAACCGTGTAATATCCTGCCAATTTTTATTTCTGTGAATAAAGTTAATCACTATTTTGATACTTGAGAATTACTTCAAAAGGACAATTGAATGCATTTACTTACTTCAAAATCATCTTCATAATTTGCTGAAAAGTTATCAAACTCCATGTCCAAATTATAGATGCGTGTATCTTTCATTTCCTAAATAAGAAAAATAGGTGAAACAGTTGAGTAATCTTACAAAAAAAATTAAATCTTTATCTGCCAAATCTTAGTATAAAGATAGATGAACAGTAGTTCTCAGATGTTTCTACATTTTCAAGCAAACATACAACAAATTCACTTTAGAAATATAAATAAAAGTGCATTAAGTGATAATTACTGACGTCAAATATTAACACAGGAAGACAGAACAGATCTCAACCCTATATTGGGAAGATCAACTGTTTTCCCATCAGTATTTTTACTGAAAAAGACATAAAAATTGCCGTGTTGCCTATAATTTCAATAGTATACTCTTATGATGGTGTAATAACAAAATAAATCTGTTGTACTTTTTCAAAGATCAGACAAAATTATCCCTATACCTAAATTATACTGGGGGATTCAGTCTGTTAATAAAATTGTGCAGATATTGGAACCAGAAAACAGACATGGATACAACAGGAAAATAGACACTTTTATTTATAAATAGTTTTCTTAACATTGAATCCTCTACTGTATTTACATGGAATAAGATTTATGGCATCCCTGAAATAACTTCAAAGAAATTGCCTTTCTCTAGCTTATTGAACTTGATTAAAATAATGCCATTTAGTTACCTCAACACGTACTCGCAAAAAAACATAAAGCTTAAAATGACTCACTGATGTATCCAATCTTTAGTCAGACTTTTCCTTCAACAGCCTCTTCACAGTCAAAGACTAAATTATCCATGTGTTACAGATTTCAAAATGGCAATAAATGTGAGGTTTTATGAAAATTATCCAGCATAACAGCACACCTATTATTACCTGCTTCTACATTTACAACCAAAGAATAGCAGCTGATAATCAAATGCCAAGTTAGGCACACTTTTGATCCTTTCACAACTCTTCAAGAGCTAGAACAACCTAGTTTTACAGAATGTAGTACTTTCAAAAGTATTAGGGACATTATATAGTAGTAAACCGCTTCTATGGATACCTTACTTTTCAGAGTCATCTGACTCCTAGAACTAAGACTACAGTACGTCAGTTGTTCTGGATGCCACTTTTTGTCATTGCTCAGATCAATCTTTGGATCAAGAGTAAATTATATTAGTCAGGTTGTCTATCTGGGCAAAACTAGCCAAAACTGGGCAAAACTCCCACAATTTGTTCTGCCTGCAAGGTTGCAGATACCCAGCAGTGACTAATTCATACTGAATTTCTTAAAAATCCTTATTCCATTTAGTCAGATACAGGTAGTATTACACCCATAAAAATGGTTATAGTCATTATTACCTTGCTCTACTAATCTCTGAATATGCCTACGGAGTTGTCATTTTTATTAATAACACATAAATGTTTATAACTTCGCATGTCATACTTGTAGCTTTTACACACTAAAAACTTCCAGCAGTCAGTAGTTGTCAAAATCTTACCGTCCTTGTAAGAACCTCCTGCATTCTCATAGGAGATTAGGATCATCCTATCACAGATAGGTTCCTACTTTAAAGAATACATGGAGAATACATTGTCAATACCAAGCAGGATTAGGAAATCCTGCTGGAATACCTGGATGACTGTGGCATTTGGAGCAACAAAATGAAGAAATTCAACAGCATAACCATGTGTCCTGGTTTTGGCTGGAATAAAGTTAATTTTCATCCTAACAGCTGGTATAGCGCTGTGGTTTGGATTTAAGATGAGAATCATGCTGATAATACACAGATGTTTTAGCTGTTGCCAAGCAGTGTTCATACTACATCAAGGACTTTTCAGCTTCTCATACTGCCCTGCCGGTGGAGGCTGAGGGTGCACAAGAAGCTGGGAGGGGTCACATGACAGGACAGTTGATGAAACTGAGCCAAAGCAATATTCCACATCATATGACATCATGCCCAGTATATAAACTGGGGGGAAGTTAGCCAGGGGGCACCGTGGCTCGGGGATTGCCTGGGCACTGGTCAGTGGGTGGTTAGCAATTGTACTGTGCATCACTTGTTTTGTATATTCTATTATTATTATTTTCTCTTCCTTTTCTGTCCTATTAAACTGTCTTTAACTCAACCTATGAGTTTCACTTTTTTCCCTGACTCTCACCCTCATCCCACTGGGGCGTGGGGGGAGGAGTGAGTGAGTGGTTGTGTGGCACTTAATTGCCAGCTGGGGTTAAACCATGATGCTCATGGAATTTGATTTAATCACTCTTGTTAGGGCAGGCCTTAAGTAGGGATCTCACCCTCCTAGGCTGCTTCCTATTGCCAATGAAGACAGGCAAGATAATGGAAAAGGAGTCTGAATAGAAAAGGACTGAACTGCCCATCTCTCTCCACAAACTACAAAGGAAATTTAGGTCCTCACCACAGTCAATTCACACCTAAAGGTGAGCTGAATCTGTGCCTTAAAGATTAGCATCCATGCCAGCTTCTACCTGTAACCTCAGCTGTTGGAATCAATAGAGGAAGAGAATAGTTTGAACATATCAGTTGATCCAGGATGACCACTGGCCATAGTGGTAAAAGCTGTGCAGACTAAATCTAAGAATAGGTCAGAAATCTACTTCTTTCAGGAACAGATAAGTATTTATGTCATGTACAGTATTACACAAGGCACAGATGAAAATTCACATTCACTACTGTGTTCAACTCTGGTCACTTGTATTCAAGAGAAATTACTGCAAATTGAAACAAAGTGACAGCTGCTAGAATGATGACAGGAATGAAGAATTTGGCTTGTATAGATCAGCAAAATTAAGTCAGAGAAGAGACAAACATGCTTTCTATAAGCTCATTAGGGGAAGAAAACCCTAGAAAAACATTTGAGCTAAATGCTAGCACTAAAGCAAGAATAATGGAAACTTACTGGAAATTAGAAGAAAAGAATAACAGAGGTCTTAGCACATCCTTGAAAGAGAAGTATTTCTCTCATGAAAATGGCCAGGTTTTAATAAAAGTTAGCATGGTTTTGAAAGATACATGGCTGAAAGATATGTGACTGCCCATAACATGAGAATATGGAACCTAGTCTTCACTAGGTACTACTACTTTTTTTTTTTTTTTAGATCAGGACCATAATCCTACAACATTCCAAAACAGAATTTCGATTTTGGGGAATGATAGCAAACGGTTGAAAATATGACAAAATATTTTAAAACTTTTTTATGGTAAAGTTAGGCTGCATCTGCATAGACTGGTCCAAATAAACCCAAATCTATACAGCTTGCACTTCAGACTTGCCGAAAAATTGATTTTGTCTGCATTTGTCCATTTAAACATATAAAAATACTTCCCTCTTATGTCAACTGCTTTAAGACATATATATGAATTACATTGCTAGATGCACTTTACTTGGTTTACATCACATATTATTTGCCTATGCCTGCTGTTTATAGAAAGAAAATAATATACTTCAGGTACATGTAGATGATTTGTAGATGATATGTATTACACATCCGAATTCTTCTCACGTATTGAGAATTATTTTTTTAAGCATAGAATATACTGAAATACAGTTGAACAGATGTCTACTTTAAATGTTTAACAAATGTATACATAATAAATCAATTTTCTAATGCTGTATACAGAAAGAGAGGTTAGGAGACACCTGAAGACCAATACACATAAATCTTATCATAGAATAGCATCATATTGAAATACATAATTGTTCTTAATCCCAAGAAAAACACAACATTCCAAGTTTTAAAACCAAATAGTTTTACCTCTTGTCTTGTCTCCCTTTCCTCTTTTTCAATGAGTTTTCCTTTTTCTTTTACAGTCCTACTGAAAAAAAGAACATAAATTTTATTAGTTGACTCAGAAGAAAGCACTAGTTTGGGTTTGGTTCTGTTTTCTGGGGGTTTTTTTGTTTGTTTCAGGAAAAAAATAGGTCTTTTTTCCTGAAAAGGAAAAAATACTTAGAAATTTCCAATATACTGAAATACTTCTACAAATACTTTTATAGATCTCTATTTATGATACAAAATGATAATAAAACAGCCAAGTGATTAATCAGTTAAGAACTGCAAAAACCTTGTCCAAATGTAATGCGTATAATTGCATCAAAACAGAAGAAAAAGTAAGGAAGAAAAAAACATACTGAGCCCACACATCTATTAGATGTATTAATATCTGCAGCAAACTGGAGATCAAGGTCAGGTTCGTGTAGTGCTCTAAAGCCATAAATCACACACTGACATTCAAACCCGGTCTTTTGTTCAAGGGGTTTCTTTATGTGGACAGTACAATCAGGGTTAAAGAGCAGGAGAATATCAACAACCAGCTCTGCTCCTTAATAACTTAATTGATTATTTTGTAAGTAGAGTATTGGACTTCAAGAAGAGAATGTTCTGACTTTCTAAGTAGGAGGGTATTCATATATACTGCTGTTGGGACTGACAAACATACGAAAGGCAACAATAAAAATTAAAATTTGTCTGAATCCTCTCATAACAAATCAGAATGATTCAACACTGACTGCTTGAGGCTGAACCAAGGTTTTGGGACATCCCAATAAACCATATTGCCTTCCTTGCCATTCAGAAACGGCTAACTCCTTTTTCCCAGCTATGCACAAGCAGTGACTCCCCCACAACACTCCATCAGCAGCAGCTTCAAAATATAACCTGTATATTTGGCACTGTTTGACACAGTTGAGTGCTACTGCTAGGAAGCATTCCAACTTACCTATTCTGAAATATTTCATTTTTTTCTTTTGTACAGGATACACTTCCACAATGACAAATTCACTACACCTAAAGTGATCTGTTCCATGCTTAAGAAACAGTAGTAATACTTAGCCAATAGTGGCAGTGACTTCACTATCTCTATGAGTGTCCCCAGAAGCCAGCATGCCAGTCTTTTATTTAGCTAGGAAGCTAAACTAGAGTTTAAGAATGAGAATTGTGACTGACAACAAACCTGGAGAGTTATACTTCTGGAAGTTGTATTGGAATTTCACATGGCCGAAACATTAAAGAATGCAGAGAACCAGAATATATAGAGAACTTCTGTAATATTTTATATTTGTTAGCAATAAAACTTAGAAATAACATACTGAAATGTTATTGATCCTACTGAGGATGACCTCAAGTTTCCCTTTAACATACAACAATAAATTTACTATATATATATATCTAATGGTTTAGATACCACCCATAGTAAGAACTAAGCAGAGATGTTTACATTAAAATGAACAATGTAAGAGTCCTATGCAGTTCATCATGAACCTTACATGTAACCAGGTAACTGCATAGTAAATTTCCAGGTGGTACAATAGAACATTTCTGTCTCCCAAACTAAGTGCCCAGACTAATACATATATAGTTTACAAGGACTTCAAAATAACTCTTCCTATCCTGGGGTAGAAAAAAAAAAAATCAATGTAATACAAATACATATATTTTTATATGAATCCTCTTAGAGGCAAAACACAGATTTTTTTTTTTTTAACTGCTCCAGTATTGTATAAAGGGCCTGTGAAAAAAAATTATATTCACCCTAGATATCTGAGATCAAGAATTCATTCTTATTGTTTTAGTGGTGACTGAATCTTAGTAGATACCGTACAGTATATTCTTATTTTAAATCTCTGAATTTACCTTATACACTGGTGGCTCATTTCTTCTTCAACCCTCTCCTCTTTTTTGTATTCATTGTTCTGTAAAAGAAGTCACAATATTCATGTGTGAGAACTGCTGGAAGGAAATATGTATATGACTGTGTATTAATAGTAGTGATACTAAACAGTAAGAAAGGTTTCTAATTAATTATTTCAATGACACATACTGTTTTTTTATCAGTAATTGATTGTAAGAAGTTCTGTGTATGAACTAACATCAGAATAATCTCCTCCTTGTAGATATGGTAAGCAAAGAAAATAAACACCCATAAAAGATATGCTATACATATAAAATGAGCTTCTCCTGAAAATATTAAATACTTGGGAGTGAAGTCTGGCTACATCCCCTTCTGCAGTGCATCTCAGAAAGGTAACAAGAAGGGATCCTGAGTCTTCTCCTTTGCTTAACAAAATGTTATAATGCTTTACCAGAGTAAATTCCGGCTTTTTTATAGGATACCTTCACATAGCATTTCAGTAACAATGTTTAAAATATGCTCTGCGCCCAGTGTACACTGCTTAAATTGTGTCAGAGCACTTTTCTAAATAACCCCTAGGCATGGCTTCAAAAACTGATAGGGACTAAGGGCTGACACCTCAGGGAGCTCTGACCAGCCTGTTTCAAAGAACGAGATTATGGACTGCAACAATTCACACCAGCTGGACCCGGGGACAGAGAACAGTCTCAGGCACTTTTAATCCCCAGTACAGTGACTTGACTTTGAAATTCTGTATTGTGAAGGTTTGCCTAAGTTTGCAAATCAACAGGTTGTTTAAGATAAAGGTGCTTTTCTCTATCCATGAACATGAGAAAAAGAAACATAACTCTGAGACAAGCACCAGGATCAGTGCATGAATTCTGTAACAGCTACTTGAGTAAATTTCCAAGGAAGTCAAATGCTGAGCAAGCTCCTGATAAGACTTTTAAATTCTGCTGCAGACGGTCAGGTCAGTTACAGGAATCGTTTGTCATGGGCCCCTACACTGAAGATGCCTAGTATTTTCACTAGAAAATATATTTCTGAACTTTTCTTTGAGAAGCTTGTACATCTTCATTCATTAAGCAGCAGCAGAAACTACCCTAGACCAACTGAATGGTTCTATGTTCCATAAAACTTGTATGATTTTAAGAATCACAAATTACTATATATTTCTTCTCTCATTCTTGTAGAAAGAGTACTTATATTATAAACACCAGTAAAAAATGTCAAAGTTTTGATTAAGTCTCTAGGATATATCATCATGCTCTGTATTAGAAACATAAAAGATATTCTGTGGTTTCAGAAGTAGATGCAAAACCCACAAATAAAGGATCTGTACTCACGTTCCTACTTGTGAGATAGATACCCATGCTCCCTTTACAGGCAACACTGAAAATAGCTACTATTAAATTAATATTTTTTTTTCTATAAAGGCAGTCAATACATTTTAATGGCTCTCCAGCTTAATCTCATGTCCACTTCAAAATGCTACTAAAAATTTCAAAAGTCATAGCAATAATTTATGAATAAAAGACATTTCTAGCATCCATGAAATTTAAGGTAGAAAATTGTAAGGAATCAGCTCTGGGTTAGGATACTTAAATGCAGATGTAGTATTTTATTCAACTCTTTTGCTTCAAATTTCAAAGCAATCCTAGTATTTTTATTATTCACCTTATCAGTGATGATATATCAACAATTTAAGTTACAAGGTAATGTTTTAAAGTCTTAACAATACTAACCCTTAGATGATGCTTCTTTTCTCTACTTTTTACTCTTTCATTAGCTTCTGCTGGTTGCCCTTCTCTGTCTCCATGGGAATATCCCTCTTTAGATCTCTCTGATTTATATTTTTCTTCCTTTTCATAATGTTTATGACTTCTTTCTTTTGAAAGTTTCTCTTTTCCTGGCCTAACAGGATGTTCTTTTTTTTCTCTGTGTCTTCTTTTTCCCTCTTTATCCAATTCTTGATCCTTCTGTAACTTGTGTACATGTTCACCTTCATCACCTTTGTAAGTCAAAAATCTGTCAATGCTCTTTTTGGTATCATTAACCTGTAAAGAGAAAAATAACATTAAAGAGTTAGAAAGTTGTCCAAGACAGTTTTATTTTCATAAATCTATCCAATTTTGACCATTAGATGATGGATTTGTAAGTAACTAATCTCTTTCTGCCAGGTGGGTCTTCCAGCCACTTTTTTTAAAATCACCTATGATGGCAAGTTTCAAATCATCTTATCAGTTGAGATTCTGGTATTTCTCCTGGGACATCACATATTTTGCTACAGCGAATTCTTTGGATTATGCATTCTTCACACAACAACTGAATTATTTGTTTACTAGGTGGTCTAACATAAAATGGGATGTATACTTACTAATATCCTTGTAATAAAGACATAAATGTCAGGTGGAAAATTTTTATGTTGCTGTACAAAAATAAAGCACTGTTTGCTATGCAAATTTGATTTTATTTTTGCTTTTAAAAAAAGAATGAAGTATGTCCTTAAAATGGAATGGATCAGATATATTTTGTTGTTGTGCATTTTGTAACTTGTGAGGACCTTACTCAGTGATCTATGCATCTCTTGGATTTCTTGGGAACTGTAGTATGATGCAGTTTCTTCACTGTTCTACAATTTTATCTTATTTCATTATGAAACACTTCATTCCTTTCCCTTCCTGTACCTTCTTTTCTGTATGTCTTCTTTCTCGCTCTTCGTTTCTTGTTTTCTCCTCCTCTAGAAAATATATGTATAAATTAATGAACAAATTTGATTATACTCAAACTCTGCATATAATTAACTCTATCATGTAGAAAATAGTATTTCAGTGACATGAGTTTTCTAAAACATAAGAGCTTTCTAAAAATAACTTACATTCTGTTTAAATTCTCTCTTCAAAGCTGGTTACTCCTTCTCCTTTCCTAATGAATCCCTCTGTTCTCAGTTTCCTTGTGTAATGGCAAGAGTAATGACACATACCACTAACTTCAGCAATCACCCTACAACTTGGGGATTCAGATAGATCACTCAGGAGAGAACATCTAGGCAAGAAGGTACTTAATCTCTTCAAGTCAACTGACCAGCAAAAACAGTGACATTCACCCTCTCTTCAGAGGAAGGGAAACAAGCATCAAAAAATTTTGAAAGCACCAAAATAAAACTAGGTTACCAGAAGATTCTGTAAAGATATATGTTTCAGTAGGTACTCACATCTGCCTGTCTTTATCCTCTCTGTACAGAAGGGGTATGGTTTCAGAGTATTTCTATCTAAATATAAAATATTTCAAAGTACAACAGCAACCCAAAGCAACCTACCCAAATGATGCTTGCTTTCTCTTCTTCTGTGATGTTCTTTATCTCTTCCTTCAAATGATTTCAGATTATTTTGTGTATCTATTTGCTTTATCTCATGACTCTTACGCTTTTTGTCTTGTTCTCTATCACTCTCCCTATCTTTCGGTACACTGTATCTTTTCTTCTCCACACTTGGCTCTTGAAGCTTGTCTTTGTATCTCTCTCGGTCTCCTTCGCTCTGGTGCTCTTTTCCCCTTTCTCTCTCTCCCATTTTATCCCTGTCTCTTTCACCAGATTTAAATCTCTCTCTCTCTCTTGTTCTTTCCTTGCTCTTCCCTCTGTCTTTGCGTTCATGTTTATGAGTGTCTGTGTCATAAACAGACATCTCTCTTTTCAGTTTATTTTCTCTGTGCTTTTGGTCCTCATTTTGACTACCTGGTTGTGATGCCTGAAATCCAAAAAAAAAAAAAAAAAAAAATTATTATTCAGCAATCTGTTTTAATATAGTATATTCACGTGAAGAAAGTAAAAAATAAAAAAAAAAAAAAACAGACCAAAAACCAATTAGTGGATTGCTAACTATTAAATTAATTCCCCAAACTGTATTAAAATGCTGATACACTTCTAGGCTTATTTTTTAAAATTACTAACATTATGTCTGTACTTATTGTAAAAAGAACTAATAAATTCAATAAATAAGAAGCTGCATTTTCAATGTATTTGAAAAGAATTTGGTAGAGAAAGAAAATTTAATGTGGAACTGTGCATTCTGTTTAGAGCTAGGTTGAAAAATTAACTAAGCATCTTAAAGCTGTTAGCTCATGTAGACAGAAACTGTGCCATCTTGTAAAACATGTTGCAGATATAAACAATAATGATAGATAACTGTACATCCTGCAGCTGCCCTTAGAATAAAAGATCACCTTTTACTTAAACAGAAAGCAGCATATAAAAGCTGTAAAAGTTTTGGGCCTAGATCCCTTGAGGATGAAACTATTCTTATATTTTTCACAAGTCACAAGAGATTATGTTTTAACCTTCCTGAAGCAAGTAGCACAACTCCCAATGATTTCACTACATCCACAATTTCAGCTATTTACTCACTGCAGAACAAACAGAACTTGCTTTTATTATAGTCGATGAGTAAAGCGAATTAAACTTTATCCATCTGTTTCACAGAAATGAAAGTTCAACATCACCACTTCTGTTGAAACTAAAGCACTTCAACTCGTATTTGTTTGCTTTAGCCCACATGGAAGTAGTGGAAATGTTACTGAATGTCTAAAAAATACAAAGTACTTATACTGTAGCACTGGCACTGAAATAATGAGAAGCTTTGAAATATAATTTATAGAAAGCTAGGTAACAGATTAACAAGTAACATGCTTTAGTTTATCAAAGCACTAATGAAGATCTGCACAAGACATAAAAAATAAGATGCGTCTTGGAAAACAGCTTTTAAAAACATATAGCACAGAACTAATATGAATATCAATGATGTAGCTGACCGGAGCCTGAATGCCTATTTGACCAGCAGATAAAGTAATTAACCAGTTTAAAGGTGCATGATAAACATGATAGATGATGACAACAATTATATTACATAATATATATTTAGGAAAGTGAATAAGTATATATAAAGCAGAGCTGTAACTTGGATTTGGGTAGCCAGCAAACCAGACCCCATTGTGTGCTGTGTGATTACCATAACAATGGTATTTTTTCCATTTACCTAATTAAGAAATCTGTGGAGTAATCTTATATGACTTGTGTAGCTAGAAACACTTGAGTGGGCCAGCCTCTGGACACCCTTGGACTAGACAGATTCCAGAACAGTCAGTTGTGGCAAGGAAGTGAGCAGCTACACATTAAAGAGCTGTACTGTTTGTATTCAGTGATGCACATTTGAAGTGCCTGGTGTGCCAAAAAGCCTTAAAGAACTGTTATGGATGCCCCAAGGCAGTCTGGCTAGTAGAATAGGCAGTCAACCCTTTATGTTTAGACCACAAATAAATTCCACTGCTGTAAGGTAACTTAACATCAAAACTAGTAGAAATTAAATAAAATCACCCTAAGATGTTTTCTAAGTTCTTCTGATTTCCAAGTATCTTCTTTGGTTCTTCTCTAGAACAGAAAAGATAGCAAAAGACTGAGTAAGCAATTTGCAGGGAGAAGTAAATCATTTAACACTGAAAAGTTTTTCAAAGGAAAGGATCAAGTTATACATATGGCAAGTACCACTGAATTTTGCAATGTAAACATTAATTTGATTTTGCCCTAATGTACATGCTTACAGCGTACCTCATCTGAATGGACCTGGAAGAGGCCCAAAGCTCAGACGTCTGCTGGGCTACCCAGCTCTGTATACACGTGGTGACCAACGCCGAGGTCAGTGCCTACGGTGGATAACAGCGTGGCCCTTCAAGAAAGACTTAAATTGGTCTTCCAGTAATAGACCAATTGGGTACACAGAGTCAGGCCACTTTTGCAAAGCAATCAATGTATCAATGTCTCTAGGTTCAAACTCCCACTCTATTAGATCTAACTTCAAAGTCCTGATCAGGGACTTATTTAGGTGAGGTTTTAGTATCTTTGAGGTTGGAGTTTTTCTGGGCAACCTCATTCTTGGGTTTGACCACTCTCAATTAAAAATGTTTTCCTTATACCAAGTCATAATTTCCCCTGCTGATAGTTAGGGCCACTACCTTCTGTCCTCTCACCGTACATCTCAGAGAAGAATTTGGCTCCATCTTTTCCACAGATCCTCTTTAGATACTTGAAGACAGCAGTTAGATCCCGTCTTAGTTTTCTTTTCTCTAGCCTGAACAGCTCCTTAGTCTCCTTCCCCCATCCATCAGTGCTCAAGCCCCATGGTCACCTCAGTGCCTCACTCTAGAATCTCTTTAGCACTGGGGGCCTTAAAACCCAACATTATATCGCAGACAGGGCCTTGCAAGTGCTGAGGACAGGAGAATTGTCTTCCCTACACCTGCTAGCTATGGTCTTCGTGACACATATAACCAGTATGTGGTTAACCATAACCACCTGAAGAGCACCCTGACGACTTATGTTAAAGTTTCTGGCCACCAGGACCCCCAGATCCCTTTTCTGCAGAAGCACACACAGAACCCATCCACCTGGCAAACAGTAAATACAGTACTTTCCCCTTAGCCGTATCATTTGAGCCACCCCAAACTCAGTTGTAAGAATATTTCAGGGAATAAATAACACAGGCAAGCAGTGAATCCAAAAATACCACGACAAATGTAATCTCTTTTTTTTTTTTTTTTTTTTAATCAGCAGTGATCTGACATAGCCACAACACGTTTTTGTTAGACTTTTAAAAACTGAAAGTTAAAAATAGTTAGATTACTATACATTTCAAGTGAACCAAAGCAGCTTCTGGTTTAGTAATTGCACGCATCTCAAAAAATGCTGGCACTACTTTTCAATCAACTGTCACTTAATACTTTAAAATTGTTCAGACCACACGTATAAGTTGACTGCCATATGAAATATTTGTATGTAGCAGTGAAGAAAACAGTAAAAATATAATGAAAATAACCAGACTACACATGGTCACTGTTTCACTACTCTTCCCTAGTTAAATAGATTATATTCCTTCTATCTTCATTTGCAGAGTTACTGCCCTTGAATGCTTGGCTGCTGCTAAATAAACTGAAAAAAAAAAAAAAATTGAGATCACTAAAGGAAACGAGGAGTTTTAATCTACTGAATATTTTTAACTAGTTCACAGAAGGATGATGACTATATTCAAAATGACATGACCAGGCTACACTTATTCTCAAATTTAGACTTGGTAAAAGTTACTAAAGATTAGCAAAATAATCACTGATATTTTTCTTCCACCGGTGCAGCTCATCATTCAACATTTTGTGCCCATTTTTTGCTAATTTATTATATGCAAGCATGATTTTAGTAGTATAATTTTTAAATTATTCTACATTAAAGAACTGTCTTTTCAAACTTCGATTTTACAGAAGATTGTAGTGGACTAGTAAATTTCATCTAAAGTCGATCTGAAGTACCAAGAAAGCAGCCTTTGTAACAAAACGAAAGGGCCCTTTACGTTTTATTTTCTTCTGATCCTTAAAAAAGGGAAAAAAGTTCAAATATTTATTACTGCAGAAAGTCAGATGAGAAAGTAAAAGCAAAGTTGAATATTTTCTACAGTGAAGTTTTAACAATGCCTAAGAAACTCGACAGAACTTGTGTGAGGGTAAGCTGGAAGGAAGGGTTATGGATGGGAAGAGAACAGAGTGCTGTACTGTACTCTCAAGTAGTAACCTATTCAAAATCCTTAATATGTGTAATTATGTTTTGGTTTTAGATAATATATGGGCATATATCAGCAATCAAAGAAAGAATGTTAATGATGTTAATAGCCTAAAACCAGTATAGCAAATAGACAATATCAGATAAGGTGGTTTGAGGTTTATTTCAAAGCTGAGGCCAAAGCATGCAGCAAACATTTAGAGATGATTCTTTAGTGCCCAGAAAGGTGCATCTGCCACTTTTCTGGGGTCTGCAGTTTTCATCTTCCCACCACCACTAGAACGTGTTGCTTTTATATATGGTGATTTCCCACTTAATTTTCTGCTTTTGCAAAGAACAAACAAATACAAAATAAGAGATCTTTTATAAAGTTTAAAGAAACATAATACCTTTGAGACCACTGTCACTCTGTAAGTAGAGGAATCATTGTACACACAAAAAGAAATGTTTAAAATAAACTTTAAAAGGATTTATTGAAGTTTCTCACCTGTTTGCTATTTTAGAAGTCTTTACATACTCACTTAAATCCAGATTAAGATTAGTTATTTAAACCACACTGGGGTTTGATTTAATTCATCCACCTGAGAGCATGGGGAGCTCATCAGCTGACATAAAATACCACACACTTATTGAACTCAAGAAGTGCTATGAAAATTTTTAACATTTAAGAAGCTGTTCTTTAAACTAAACAGTAAGTATGTTGCCTTATGAAGTTGGCAGAACAAGGACCCTGCTACTTCAGATAAACTCTTCAAGAGAGATCATGAAGGGTTTCTTCACTCGCTACCTAGAAAGACTGGACTGGAGGTTTTCAGAACTTATATTAAATTTTTAACTAAGTTAAGAACTCACTTAACTATGATTTTAAAGAAACAGAAAACCAGTAAACTGTCCATAGTTTTTAAACCAGAGAAAAGTACTTTATTTTTTTACATATATTTATCTTCCTTAGTTTCAGTATGAGTTGCCTATTTGAGAGCCCTCAAATAGGTAAACAGCATGGGTGATAGAACTGATTTGATAGAATAGAAACAGCAAAAGAAAGCCTTCTCATACAGTGTGGCTGTTAGTACGACTGCCTCTGGGTCTTTGGCAGTCCTATACCAATGCACCCCAAAAATTTTAGATCAAAGTTTAGCTCTCCATCACAATTCACTAACTCACCACTTTTCAGTAAAGAGATTATTGATGTACCATGGTTACTGAAATACCTGAATGAAAGTTTTTAGAGTGGTCCTAACATACTACTTCACATACCCTACCCAGCCACTCTATTTCCCACTCCATTTTCTATTCAACATGAAACACAAATTAATTAGCTGTTAAAATTCAGATTCATACAATGGTAATAAAAGTGATCTGATACTTCTGCTTTTTCAAGTGAACATGTAACACAATAGTTGATGTTAGCATGTCCGTGTGGTTTTGATTGCTTTATTTTAGAGCTCTAGAAACTTAATTTAGCACCACCATGCAAAATTTATGTGGGTTCCTAAAGAACTAAACCCCAACAATTAGCAGTTACCGGAATATCAATTGTTAAATGTACTTTAGCTACAATCTGAAACGTTAACAGCTTTGGATATTTTCAGAAACCACTTATCCTCTTCTGCAGAAAGATCTGTGGTTGATACAGCCTCATCCTTCTGCTAGAGGAATAACGACTTCCTTACTACCGCTATGGGGATGAGAGTTCTACCGGCGCGCTGACAAAACAAGGAGACTTGAAACGCCCAAGGAGTGCTATGGGGGTTCTCAGGGCCAGCGTAACAAACACTAGGGCTGTGTCCTTGCCTTGTCCCCACAGAAGCCCCCGCTAACTCAACGCCGAGGAACGCGAGACGCGGCCGGCTGAGGGGTCGGTTTTGGCAGGCGCCAAGGCACCCAAGGCATAAGGGGCCGGGAGGGGAGCAGGGGAAGGCCAAGCAGAAAACCAAGCCGGGCCGGGCCACGCTGCCACAGCCCCCGGCGCCGCCTCAGGGCCACCCCGGCGCAGCGGAAAGGGGCGCGGCGCGGCGAGTCGAGGCGAGGCGGGGCGGCCCTTCGCGCGATGTTCGCAGCAGCCAGGCCTGGGGGGCGCCGGCCGGCTCCCCCGGCCGCTTCTGCAGCGGCCCCTCACCTTCTCCCGCTCCATGGGGGGGACGAGCGGGCCGCCGCGTCCCCCCGCCGCCGCCCGCCGTAAGGAAACCGCGGCCGCGCCGCCGGGCCCGCCTAGCAACGGGCGGCCAGGGGGGAGCAGCCGATCGGCCGAGCGATGGATGGGCGCGAACGGGCTGCCGCACAGGACGGTGGGAAGAGGAGAGGGGAGGGGAGGGGGAGGAATGGCGGCCGAGCGGCTCCGGGCCTTGCTTGGCGGGACGCGGCAGGTTGGGGTGCTGGCGTGGCTGCAGGAAGGTTTGTCCCCTCGGGCCGGGGCGCAGCAGGACTTCCTCGGGTGAAGGGGCCCCGGGGAGGGCTCGGGCCCGCCCAGCACCGTCCTGCGAGGCGGGGACGGAGCGCTCGCCCAGGCAGTCTCTAAAGCACCGTTGTTCTCATCGCTGCTGGCGTTTTGCCGGCGAAGTGTGCTACGAAACCATTCCTAATCATAGCTGATGCACTTCCAGAAAAGTCATGCGCGATTACTGGGGGAGAAAATGTTAAGGACACGGGTGATCTGCTTAACGTAATCTGCTGTTTACCCAGCTGTTAAGTAGAGGCAGGTATGAGGAATACTCGTGGAAATAAAAATGTTAATATTCCCACAGTAAAACACCGGAGCTGTTTTCTGTAACAGAGCAAGTAGCATCTTACCAACCACACGTGAGACAAACGACGTGAACGACTATTGCCTGCGGGAAAGGTGTGTGCTTTTTTCGCAGCACATGTTTACAACATACTAATATGTGCAATTTAAAAGACAGGGTGAAAATTCCTCTAGGCACTTTTAACTTTGTTGACTATTTTTCCTTCTTAAGAGTAAAAAAAAAAAAAAAAAGTTAATATGTAACTGTTACTGATGATAATAATTATTCGTGTTTAGAAAACTGACTACTGAGGGGGGAAAAAAAAGCAAAGGAAGAGGCATCTTTGGGTTTGAAAAACATTCTTGCCATAGTTCAACAGGAGTTTGTCACACTGACTTCAAAGAAATAAAATTTAACCCCTTGGCGTTAGTCACTTGACAAACACATACATACAAAGCCTTGATACTGTTGCCCCTTATTAATGTTTCCAGAATAATTAAAAATGCTATAAAAGTTGCCTCACTGTCCAGACTATGAAATATTTTCCTTTATCATGTAGCAGAAAAGCAAAGGCAAATTAAGCAAGCAATTAGGAGGAAAAAAGATAAAGGAGAACCTTGATATTTTATTTAGGAAAAAACAAATCAAGAAACCACCATTAACTGTAAGTATGACCTTTAAGGGCTAAATTACATCCACTAAATATAAGCATCTATGGATACTAAACTATAAACATTCTTATGAATTATTTAGCTGTCTTTGGCAGAGCAATAATGAGCTATAAGCATTTTATATCTTCTTCCCTGAACAAATAAAAATGCATTTACAAGACATCTTGGATTAAGTCAAAGAGCTCTTTAGCCAAAGAGCCAAACACATGGAATGAGGCATCTGCTTAGGAGAGGATACTCTGCAGAAATGCTGTCCTACATATAGAGGCTGAAGGACAAAAACTGCCTTCAAGTACTCTAATTGAATTTTGGTTTTAACAACAATATAGCAAATGTATATAACTAAAACTAGCAAATGTAACAGTGTTACCAAAGACTGGACAGAAGAAAAAGCTTTTTTTCAATGATTCAGAATATGCATATGTATTAGTTGCAAAAAAAAAAAAAAATCAGTTTTGGATGCAAATGGCTTTTTCTTACCATTATTAGAGTATACTAGTCAGGCAGTTTTATGGCAAGAGGCAAATTACAGACGTGGAAAGGCACCACTAGAGGGTTTGGAAAGAACTTTTCAAACCTTAACGCCAGGGGTCAAGCTGAAGTTTAACAGCTGCATGACAACACAAGCTGGAATAACACCTTTGGAATAAGAGAACTAAAATTTGTGCATGTTTAAATGTTTTCACCATGTATTACAATAAGCTACAGATTCTCGCTAGTGATAAAAATGAATACAAGCAATTAAATGACACATATCTGTTGTATTATTAGACAGCACAAAAGGATGCCTTAGCTTTTCTTGGAAAGAAAAGCGTTCTAAACAAGGCTTTTGGTAGCCCTGGGAATTATAATACAATTTTAGCTTCTACATACTTTTCTCTTGTCTGGCTGGGTACACATAGCTGCTTCACCTGCACTGTTATCTGAAAAACAGGAATATGAAATAACTCAATTTTTTTATATTCTGTAGTAGTAAGCCATTTTTTGTCTTTGGATGTTCCTCTTATCCTGTGAAGCAATGTTGTATTTTTCTTCACCTCTGTATGGCATGACACACAACAGCATTGCATCAAAAAATTGCTGGAAATATGAACCCTCATAGGGACAACATAGGGCAACCCTCCATCATGCTTAAAAACTATGATTCTTATATTACCAAAAAAAAAAAAAACCACAAACAAAACAAAAAGCCTTTTTTGTATGAAGGAAGAGACTTGTTAAGATCTAGACTTTGTAGCTATATTCCCTTTTTTTTAGCCAATTTCTGCTGAGGCTTTATGAAGATGAAAACTCAAATATTACTATCAATGGAGGTGCATAAATGACCTCTTGCAAAATGTTTATGTTAGTCAATCTTCCAGGTTCATAAATAGAAACAACAAAGATGTCAATCTCTGAAGTAAACATTGTGTCTTTAGTGTTTAACTTGTAAGAATACCTTTAGGAAAAAAAAAATACTTTAACCCTTGTAAAAACTTATTAAGAAACACATTTTAGTGGAAAGTCTTTCTGTCTTCAGGAACAATAAATATTTGAGGATCTTGTAATGAGAGTACAATTTATGCATTCAGTGAAACTGAAGCCAGATTGTGTGATACCAGGGATCAGACACGTATGGTTTTGTTCCAAACAACAGAAGCTCTGTATACTAAACAGGTATGGTAGAGTCTTCTGACTCTTTGTGCTATGTGTTAGGTATTTTGAAGCAGACAGTAAATATTTGTGCTATACAGTAGATAATTTGAAGCAGGCTGGATAAAACCAAACACAGAAGTAGTGAGTATTCCATCATGAGAATTTACTAGGAAGAAATATCATGCAAACTATGTTTCCGTTAATAATTCAGAAATTTTTAGGAAAAAAGCTGAGTAAACATTCTCAGACTTTTATTCAATATTTATATTCAATAATTAAAAACTTGTAGAGAGAAGCATCAGGCTGAAATAAGGTATAATATCAAAAATTGTTCTTCAGGAAGATTAACTCTTACTGAAAATTCTCAAGAAGCAACAATTAAAGTAGCTTCCAAAACATGTTTTCTTGTGTGAAATCCAAAGACTCTGGGGAAACTTAGGTTTTCTTTTTAACCATATAAACTGAATTTTGCCAGTTTTTCTCATCCTCAAAGCCCCAGATGTATAAATTAGATCATCTGGGAAGTTATTCTGAAGAATAGTGCTGGTACTTACTGGGAAAAAAAGCATCATGGCAAACTGATGTGATGTAAGGTAAAGATAATCATAGGACAACACTACTTTGACTCCAATGGAAGCTGTTAAGTTTGAACAAGCAAAAAAGGAATCCAATAAAAAGGAGGAACAAACACATATGTCTAAGAATGGGTATAAAGGCATACTGCAAGCAGAAGTTATTAATTAAAATTCTAAGAAGGCAACAGACATACAAAGCAGGATATGAAAAGAATATTATCTAAATTAGATAAATATAATCATCTCTGTAGCTGATACAATTCACTATAGGATACTTAAGGAAAAGCCAGAGTAATCTCTGGGCCATAAGTGAGTATCTTCAAGAGTTCCTGAAGCATTGAAGACTGCTGTTTTAAGTATTGAAAAATAGGATCAGGAAATATGTGAATTAACAATTCCAAGATTCTCAATCAAATTATTAAACTATATATCAGCACCAGAAAGATCATAAGAAACAAATAACTTGTGTTGATCCAGAACATTTTACAAAAAACTTTATAATAGAGCAACTGACTAATTTATCCCCTAGCAGCGGAGTTTATATCTTGATCTTAACAAGACTCTTTTGTCCCTATTATAATAATGAGTGTGCTAATTTTATACCACCCAGTTTCTTCATCAAAGTACTGTGTGGGCCCAAGTCAGTTATCTACAGAAGTTCTAAGAAGTCAGCAGTAATGTCTTTATCAGAACTTTCTATTGATTGTACGGATAAATGCTATCAAATTAATGCTACAAGATCTTGTTTCTGTTTGCCTATTTGATTCGCACAGTATCACCCACCTTTAGTTCTGATTAATCAAACTTCCATATCAACTAATGAATTACTCTGCCCAGGATCAATGCTAGGCTGGCAGGCCTACACTTATGTGTTTGCCATCCTAAATGCTACTACAAGATTAATCTTTTTTTCTGCTATTTCTCCAGTGTATTAATACTGACTGTACAGGGTACTCCTCTACAAATTCTATCTCCAGATCACTTGCAGAATACACACTGAGACATAAAGGAGAGCAGAATAAGATGCAGCATATGGTTAGTTGACAAACGTCATATTAATTCAATCATTTTTTTTTCTTGTTTTGAATTCTCATTTTGGTTTGTGGTATAGTTGTATTGTGCTTCAGATACTATGAAGCCAGATAGGGAAATAAAATTAAGCAAAGGAGTCCAGGACTGAGAACAAAGGGCTTGAAAAAATCAGAAAATATTAATAGTATTTGTTGTGATGGAGGGAGCCCACATACAATATGGCCATTTGTACTAGGCATTACTGAAACTCAAGAGTGAGGAGTTCACAAGAAAGTCTGTGTAAGCAAACTAATTAGAAGAGGAATACAATAACTGCAAAAAATCACCCACATTTACTGTAGTTTGATATTGTTGGTATCCAAATGGATCACGGAGTCATACTTGATAGCCCCAGTTTAAGGTAACAAGCTTTTATATGGTCTTATGCTGCCCTTCAGTCCCCTCACTATTACAGCCTGAGGTGTTCTGAGTTCTCTAGAAGTAAAAACCCAAAGTAAGTAAATTGTAATTTCAAAGCCTGGATTACCATATAGTTGTAAATAATTGATCTTGTGACTTCTTTTTGTGTCATTTGGTCGTTCTGAAGTTTCATCCTAACCTAATTACACAGGTGAAGAACAGACATTGTCAATGGTGAAAGAGGGAGTAAAGAAAAGCAATATGAGTCTATGGTCAGAAATTGTTTCTACTTAGAGTGGTCCATTGTGTCTGATTGCAGGCATGGAGGCAATTTGGAAAGATGATAGAACAGCACATTCGGTTGTCAAGATTCTTTTCCCAATTCTGCACTGCAGCACTCGGTAAACAACTTTTTGTGCTGTTGCTTTTCTGACTTTCCATTTATCTGGATGATTGAGATGAGGTTGCTTTCACTACTGAAGGAAATGAAGCTTATGCAGCTTTCCTATTTGTCTGTTTGTATGTGGTGATGCAACTTTTCAGCCTATTGGCTAAATTCATTCTACCCTCTTCCCTGCCTGCAAATACTAGTCCCATAAAGTCCTACAGATTTTGTGAAAATTAGCAGCTGAAGAGAGGGGCATAAGAAGACCCTCACTCCCACTAAGTGAAAGGTTAGCTAT